AGACTATGGAAATCTAAAGCTCTCCTGTCCCCACTAAAGGGCAGTGTTCCACTCTGCGTTAACCAATGATTTTCAGGAGGGGATACAGGTCCAACATTCTAGATCTTCCTGTTTTAAAGAGGAATGGGAAACCTGGCTATGAAATATGCCTATTTTTAAATGTTGGCAACTGACTCCAAATCCTGGGTGGACCAAATAAAATACATCTGACCCAGGGGCTGCCCACATTTGCAACTTCCATCACAGCCTAACTCTGAGAAGGCAGAGCCCTCAGATAACTCTGAGTTCCAAGTACACTCTGAGCATACTGTACAGGAAGACTAAGGGATCCTCCAGTCAAATCTTTATTTCACTCCAGCTTGGTCCCTATCAATCAGCACAACTCTCTTCACACTCCAGTGAAACAGGAACCTGGTGTGACAGGATCATTATCACCAGAGGAAAGGACAATCTCACCATGGGTCATCAGCTTGTATTACATAAATGAATTTAAGGGCTTGAAATGAGGAAACAATGAAAATACACGCAATAGGGCAGTGAGGCACACGCAGTTCAGGAACCAAATTGTGCTGATCGGACTTAAAGGGCCAATCACAAATATGCCAGAAACATTCGGTCAGCACTTTCAGGTGACATTTTCCCAGTGTGATATTGCTTTCATGCTTCCTTCATCTCTGACTCATTCTCTCCGGTTCAATCTATTTTGTTTATAGATTTAATATCTGGCACTATTCCTCTAAAGAGCTCACGATTTCCCTCTGCCTTCTCTTCCCCCTCCTACTTCAGAGCAGGGCAGATGGAAAACCAAATAAGCAATGACAGACGTAAAAAGATATGGATATTTATATTGCTTTGGTTTGGGGGACCAAATGAAGCTAGCCCAACAGACACAAGTTTGAAGCTGCTTCATCCATTCCAGAAGAGTCTAAGTATTGAGTCCCAACATACACCTTGCTCTAGAAAACCCAAATATTAGAATTCTGTGCTAAAGACCAACATTCCCCCAGCCTGCAGTTAAAGTGTTTCTTTAATTCTGCCACTTAGGGGTATCTGAGCATTCCATGAATCAGCAATGACCCTGATAGACCTCAGTCATCTAGAAGTCCATCACATGCTTTGGGCAGACCAACATCTAATAATCTTCTCACCTATTGGGAAGGTCTGGGGACAATGAAACTGGTACCCAGCCACATTCCTTGATGTGCCTGGGACATAAGAGGCTTATGTAAGAGACACTAAACACAGCCCACAATGTGATGGACAGGGAGTTCCTTAAAAAGGGATGGAATGTTAGAAACAACAATAGTGCCACTAAGAATAAATCACCATGAATGAAGGAGTCTGGCAGAGTGAACGTCTTAGCTCAGGTTGCCATAACAAAATACCACGACTAAAATAAATACCTTTTTAAAAAAATGTTTATTTCTTTATTTTGAGAGAGAAAGAGAAAGAATGTGAGTGGGGTAGTGGCAGAAACAGAAGGAGAGAGAGATTCCTAAGCAGGCTCCACACTATCAGTACAGAGCCCAACATGGGGCTGTATCTCACAAACCCTGAGATCATTACCTGAGCCGAAATCAAGAGTAAGGTGCTTAACTGACTAAGCCACCCAGGTGCTCCTAAAATAAGTATCTTGATTATATTTTGTGAGAATGGAAATGACTTTCGTGGGAATCTGAGCTTGGTGGTGCCCTATGTCTATGGTTACAAATAGCCTTTGAATCGCCAAATGGGAACCCTTCAGCACTTATGTTACCTGAACTCTGGCATCTGATATTGCTAACAACTCCTCCCTAAACTTGAAATTCTCTCCTCCCTAAACTTCCTTTTCCCTCCGAACCCCTCTGGCTACTGTGGGTATTCCATGTCCAAGCCTGGTGCAGGTGAGGAGGCACTGAGAAGAAAGAACATACAAGGCCTATGGCACAGCAAGGAATTGCCTGACGCGGAAGAACCTAGACCCTTGAGGGTTGGCAGGCCCTTTCCCCAGCCTACAGAGCAAGGAGTGGCAGATCAGACTTGAGAGGGGCCATGCTGACCCCTAAATTCTGGTCACAACTCCATGAAAGCAGAAGAAACCCCAGAGTCTCCTCACTCACTTTCAGTCTCATTTCCTGTGCCTGTTGCAATGCTTGCTTGCAGACTTGGTAGTAAACTGAAATGAAAGCAACCCTGAACTTGTGTAACTGGTCATTCTTGCCTAGCTTTGAATCTGGATTAGCCTATTATGGGCTGGCCTACCTCACCACTCCTCAGTCTTCTCAGTGAATTCCTCTCCTTCATCCTGCCCCGAACTGTGGAGGTTCCACAGGGATCCCTGCTCAGCCCTTTTCTCACTCTCCAGACAAGCTTAACAACCACCCAGTATTAACAATCACATGTATACTGATGATCTCTAATTCTGCATCAACTGATCAGACGTGAGCTTCTGACTCAGGTACCACAGTTTAGTACACATTTCACAAACCCCTCAAATTCTGCAAGTCCAACATTGAATTTATTCTCTCCCTCCACTATCTAGTCCTCCTCTTACATTCTCTTTCTTTGTCTGTCAACTAGATCCTCATTAACTTGGCTGAACAAGCCAGGAAACTAAATCAGAGTTGATTCTGAGTTTCTTTAAATGCATGTGTAAAGGTACTAAAGGCAATGGATGAATCATGTTGGCTCTTTTAAAAGGTCAATTTGGGGGCACCTGGGTGGCTCAGTCTTGGTTAAGCATCTGACTCTTGATCTTGGCTCAGGTCATCAGCCCTGCGTTGGGCTCTGCACTGACAATGCGGAGCCTGAACCCTGTAATAACCTCTCATCCACTCATCCCCATTCATGTTCTTCTAACCAGTGCTGCCAAAAACATCTATTCTTTCAGGCATATTTAAATACCTTTATACCTTTTCTTCTTATTACAGAAGTACTACAGGTTTACTGTAGACATTTGAGAAAAGTCAGTAATAATACAAAAAGAACGGGGCGCCTGGGTGGCGCAGTCGGTTAAGCGTCCGACTTCAGCCAGGTCACGATCTCGCGGTCCGTGAGTTCGAGCCCCGCGTCGGGCTCTGGGCAGATGGCTCGGAGCCTGGAGCCTGTTTCCGATTCTGTGTCTCCCTCTCTCTCTGCCCCTCCCCCGTTCATGCTCTGTCTCTCTCTGTCCCCAAAATGAATAAACGTTGAAAAAAAAAAATTAAAAAAAAAAAAAACAAAAAGATCATCACTATTAACATTGTATTATATACACTTCCAGCCATTTTCTATGAATAGACCTACATCTTTAGGAGAAAAGGATTATATCATACACAGTTATATGCCCTACTTTTAAAAATTAGCGTTGTGAACAATTTCCTAATATAAAAGATAGTTTAAAATATACCATAGTAATTACCCTCATACATCCATCTTTGCTCATATTCATAATTATTTCTTTAGGAGTGGAATTGCTGGGTGAATAGGTAATGCATACTTTTAAGACTTTGAACCTATTGCCAAATACTCCCTGGAAAAGTTTTATGCATTTATTATATTTCTGCCAGTAGAGTGATCATCTTAATGTAGAAATCAGATTCTTACTCAAAGATGTGGAAGAACTTCTAGGCTCAGGTACACTATATGAGGGAAGGCCCAGAAATAAGGCTGTCACAGGCATTTAAGCCAGCATGTTTCCAAGACTCCATGGCCCCCATGGAGTCTTTCTGATGAACCATGAAAGGAGATCAAAGTATACAAGTTCTTTCCACAGCTCTTAGAGTAAATGCCATGCAAAGCCAGGGACTTTCCTTTTTACATATGACTAAGTACCTAATAGCTTCCTTTGTTAATTATTAAAAGTGATTAAATTTTTATATTCACCAAAAGAAAAAAAACCCACAAAAAACCATGTGGTACTGCCAATTATTGAAAACTTTTGCTGCCACAGAAAAGCTGGCAATGATATAAATTTCCTGCTGCACATGTAACAACCTAGATTGCTGGGAATGCTTGTTGTTGGTGAGGGGGGCTTCTTAGTGTCTTGAGTTTCCAATACAGCCCTTCTTGTTTTGTTTTGTTTATGATGCTTATTTATTTATTTTGAGAGAGAGGGAGAGAGAGAAAGAGAGAGAGCATGAGGAGGGGAGAAGCAGAGAGAGAAGGAGACAGAGGTTCCAAAGTGGGCTCCGCACTGACAGCAGAGAGCCCAATGAGGGGCTCGAACCCATGAACCCTGAGATCACAACCTGAGGCGAAGTCAGATGCCCAACCAACTGAGCCACCCAGGCGCCCCATAAATACAGCCCTTCTTGTATGTGTTATTTCACATTTCAAATGTTGTTTTTCTGTTTTTGATCGTTTTGTTCATGCATACACATTATGATGCTGCTGTTTTAGGTTGCCATTTTGCTCTTCTCTAATTCTTTATCATCAAATTCTTTTCCCACCAGAAGTGGAATGGATGGGTTAGGTGTATTGTGGGGTCTTGTGCGCCAATTAAGTTAGCATGTTTGAGAACTGATGGTCTGAATGCCTCAAAATCTCTCTACCCTAACTCTAGATTGGCTTACTAGGTTGGTTCACTGGTAAAGAGGCCTGGTAAGTTATTGTCTATATAATGATCAAATGTTTGAAGGAAGGAAAGAAAAACAGAGTAGTTGAAGGCAGTTTTGAGAGGTGACAGGAGGCTTGCAGACTCATCCATTCTCCTCCCAACTCTCAGTTTTCAAACATTAGCAGGGCTAAGAAGTCTGAGCTGCCTATTAGCATAGTTGAAACATAAACAAGGCTGTGTTAAGAACAGCATCAATACTGTTTTGTACTTGGCCCAAGCTACCCAGCCCACTGGACTGCACATCTGTGAAACTCCTGATTTGAATCTAAAAGACCAGCAGGAAAGATGAGAGAGCTCTTCCTACAAGAGTGACCATCTGAGGTAATGGAGACATCTGCATAATCAGTTCTGGTTACAAGCCCAAAGCTTTTTATTTTCCCATCTAGCCCTGGGAAGTCAGGGTTTTAAAATGTATGGGATTTACCTTGACAAACAGCCTTTGAGAAGATATGGGAAATCTGATTTCCGCCAGTCCAGCTTGCACTTCAACAGGGATTCCGTAATGTTACGAGCCTGAGAAAGAATCGATACACTATGTGCTGGTTCATTTCCATTCCCCTGTGGGGAAAGAGGGAAAGAAAAAAAATAGCAAAACCAGTTCTATTCGATTCTCCTCACATTTCTATTGCCAAGAGCAGCACAGTTACTCACCAACAGGCACCAGAAACACCCACACACTCAGAGACATGTACAGTCAGGTATTTGTTAGCCTACTACTTAATAAGCTTGCTCTTTTCCATAAGCTAGGCCCCTGGTTAAAATATGAACACCAAAATTAGGCTCACCTCAATAGCAGAATCTTTTTTTTTTTTTTTCAACGTTTATTTATTTTTGGGACAGAGAGAGACAGAGCATGAACGGGCGAGGGGCAGAGAGAGAGGGAGACACAGAACTGGAAACAGGCTCCAGGCTCTGAGCCATCAGCTCAGAGCCCGACGCGGGGCTCGAACTCACGGACCGCGAGATCGTGACCTGGCTGAAGTCGGATGCTTAACCGACTGCGCCACCCAGGCGCCCCAACAGAATCTTATGTGTAATCCTAGGTCAGCTATGAATCACAAATTTTTCTATTTCACCCAAGACAAATTTCCAAAACCTTTTCTTGCACATCCTCTGAGTTAAGACATAACATCTATGAGGGTCTCAGGCCACAAGTAAGGGTTGCACAGAAGATGCAGTGACGGAAAAAGAAAGAAAAGAAAGGGACAAAGTAGAAAGAAAAGAGACGAAGACTAAAAGTAATAAAACATTTTTTAGTTTACTTTTAAGTTTATTTAAGTTTTAAGGGAGACAGAACACAAGTTGGGGGGGGAGGCAGAACAAGAAAGAGAGAAAGGGAGAAAGAGAGAGAGACAGAGAGACAGAGAGAGAGAGAGAGAGGGAGAGAAAGGGATCCCAAGCAGGTTCCACACTGCTAGCATGGAGCCCAACACGGGGCTCAAGCCTACAAACCATGAGATCATGACCTGGGTGGAAGACAGACGCTTAACCAACTGAGCCACAAAGGCGCCCCAAAGTAATAAAACATTCTTAAAAATGATGGGGCGCCTGGGTGGCGCAGTCGGTTAAGCGTCCGACTTCAGCCAGGTCACGATCTCGCGGTCCGGGAGTTCGAGCCCCGCGTCAGGCTCTGGGCTGATGGCTCGGAGCCTGGAGCCTGTTTCCGATTCTGTGTCTCCCTCTCTCTCTGCCCCTCCCCCGTTCATGCTCTGTCTCTGTCTGTCCCATAAATAAATAAAAACGTTGAAAAAAAAATGAATGTGAATGATCACATTTATAACAGTACTGACTGTCAGAGTTGTATTTATGAGCATCATCGACTCTATGCCAGACACTGTTCTCAATGCTTTCACGTGAATTATTTAATTCATTCAAAACATAGTCATTGCACACCTTCTGTGTGCCAGGCATTGTTCTAAGTAAAGAATATTCTGTAGAGAGCAAAAGGGATAAAAATCTCCTCCATATCAGAGCCTACATTTTGGTAGAGAATGTCTCATTTAATTGTCACAATAAGGAAAAGAGACAAGAAAGGCATGTTAAGAAGGCAAAGGACATGTACGGACAGAAAAAGAGGACTTTAGAGAAGGAGATATAAAGGAGATGAAAGTTAAAGAATCATTGTCAGGGCTCTGAGATGCCGGATTAAAGGGATAAGTCTCTGTTCATGCTGTTCATGCCTCAAATCCTTCAACACAAAAGCTTTGGAAGGTTCCACCATAACCAATTTAGTGAATAGTCTGGATTGTAAATGTGTGAAAAAATATGCTTCTATATTATCTCAAATGTATATAGCAATTTGAAATGCTAACAGTCTTTCTGAGTAGATATCCAGCAATATTGTTTTAATAAAGATAAGACATATTTGTAATAAGCAGTGTTCATCTGCACATATACCTCTCATTTCTCCCAGCCCATAACAGAGAAAGGGGAGAAAAGTCAGTGATCTAAAAAAAAGATGGATCAGATATTTGTTTGAATCCCTCATCAGCACCAATTATAATACTAATAGATGTTATTTATTGAGGACTTTCTATTTGCTGCTGTGAGAAGTAAGAGAGAAGATTCATTTTCAGAAGTACCAAATAAAAGCTGTGCTGTCTAATTAACAATAGGTTTACAACCTATTGGAAACTGTACCAGCCACCCAGCCCCACCCCTGCCCCCACCCTTAGTGGGGGAGTCCCAAACCCTTAGACACTTCACTTCCTCGTTCTTCCCCTCTCTATTTCACGGTCTTATTTTTACGGGCTTTGCAATGAGCATGTGCCAAAGAACTGAAGTCTCTGCACCACTTCAAGGAATGTACATTTGTTCCAATCAGACTACTTTTTGCCTTACATGAGCATAGGCAACATGGGGGTAAGGCTGTAACCTCTGTAGTATCAGCTAATGAGGAATCAGGGGAGGGACTTGCGTGCTAGGAGATAAATTGTCTGCTGTAACTGCCCTGAGTATGCTTGTCCATTAGACACCCACTCTTGTAAGAACGTTGATTAAAGCCTCACTTCACTGTGCTCTGAGTCTCCAAGTCCCTCCTTTGATTGGGTCAGTGGGCTTATTTCTCACAGCTGCATAACAAACTATCCCAAAACTTGGTAGTTTAACAACGATTTATTTCTCATAATTCTGTGGGTTGGCAGGTCAGTTCTGATCTCATGTGGAACACTCATGTGGTCACATCCACAAGGTGAGCTCAGGTAGGATCTTGGCTCCCTAGTGCCTCTTTCTCCATGTGGTTTTTACCATACAAGAATCTAGGCTGGGCTTCCTTATCTAGTGGCACAGATGGTCCAAGGAAGCAAGACTTAAGTTTTAAGACTTAGGCTTGGAGCTAGCCAACAATACACCTGACACATTCCACTGGTCAAAGCAAGCCATAAGCTCAGCCCAGATTCTAGGGGAAGGGAAACAGACTCCACCCCTTGCTGAGAGTAGTAGTACTTACAATCATGAGAATCATTGGCAATCGTCTTTGTAGGCAAGCTATCTTACCTGCCATATGACAGAAACTGTGTATTATCTCAACAAATCTTTGAAGCAACGTATTGGCCTCCTTAATATCCCTATTTTACAAGTAAGGAAACTTAATTCCTTAAAGGTTAAATACCTCCTGCAAGTAGGTGCCAGACCTACTAGGGACCTAGTAGATCTAGGTCCAAATCTTAACCACCCTGAGTTCTAATTCACAACCATCCCTTAATACAACAGTCAAAAGAGTTAGAGGAGTGAAATCCCAGGTTCCCTCTTCCTCAGGGAAGCAGAAAAGCATAGTAGTTAAGAGCTCTGACTCTGGGGTCAAACTGCTTTGGTTCAAATTTTGGCTCTAAACCTCATTAGTTCTGTGACTTTGGGTTAGTGATTTAGCCTCAAATTAATTCATCATCTGTAGAACAGGGCTGATAACAACATCTACTCCATAGGAATATTAGGAGATAGGGTCAGTTTAATTATATTTTGTTCCCTGACTGCCCTGTTCTTCAGAAATGTTGCTGACTAGTGATCCTGAGTCTATGTGACTTGATCGTCATCAACCCTGCTGACCTTGCTTCTGATTCTGCTTTGCCTCTGGACCCATGCTGCTATTGCAGTGACCACTACTGAGTGTCCTGCCTTACTGTGGTCCCTCTCTGTTCATTTGTTGCACCTTCTGCTTCCTTTTGGAACTGCCACTTCATGCTAGAGATTTGGTTGCTGTCCATGTTGACCTACAGCAGTTTGCCTTTGTCAGTGCTCTGTTAATTCTTCTGATTACACAAAAGAAGAGCAGCTCTCACAGGCTAATCCCATTAATACCTTGTTTTGCCTTTGACCATTTACAAAAGGTTGTCTAACATCTTTCTCTAACAAAAGAGGAGGAAATGGAAGTTTCTCTGGTTTGGGACTGTACTAATTCAGCTGCCTGTGGTTTGAAAGAATTGCAGTATTTCAGAATGAGTAACCACTAGGTGGCAGCAGTGTTTTGCTTCCCAGCTCATTACCATCATTCTGCCTCCCAACCCTTATAATTTCAGTTACAGCCAAGATGCAGTTCCTTTCAAAGTGAATGACTTGCTTTTAAATCAACTTATCCATATGAAGTTCAAGGTGAACAATAAATTTCATGTACATTCTCTTGAAAATTCACTGTGATGTCACTAATTCCATCGGAGAGTTCTCACAGGAGTTATATTACTAAGGCAGTTTTATAGTCTTTGGTTCGAAAGGGCATGAGAAAAGTAAATAAACCTCAGCATGTTTAGGGCATGGCCAAGTTGGTTGTTTCCGCCTCTGGTTGTTAACACCAAACAGGCCAAAGGTCTGTTGGGTTAAGAGTTCATGGACTCCTAGGCTATCATTTTGTTAATGGGATTATAGACACATGACTCATTTTCCCAATGAGGTCCCAAAAGGTTTTCTCGGGGAAGATGGCATTTCAGTAGTTTATTGAGTGAGAAGCAGGTGTAGGGAACTGCATCTTTCAATTATATCCCCACAGGGATCCAACCTGCCAAATGGAATTCCAAATGGAAGGTACAAAGAAGGAAGAATAGGTAGAGGAAAGGCCAGGAGTGCTGACAAAACCCTTGTCATACAGTATGAGGGATCAAGAGATGCTGTCTATAGTTGACAGAACAAAAAGATGTTTAATATATCACTTAAATTTACTTTGTAAATTTAACATCCGGGAACAAACTATATCAGATTGTAACTTTATCTATTTAAAATAATCTTTGGGGCGCCTGAATGGCTCAGTTGGTTAAGCATCCAACTTCAGCTCAGGTCATGATCTCGCTGTTCGTGGGTTTGAGACCCGTCTCGGGCTCTATGCTGACAGCTCAGAACCTGGAGCCTGCCTTGGATCCTGTGTCTCCTTCTCTCTCTGCTCCTCCCCCACTTGTACTCTGTCTCTCAAAAATAAATAAATGTTTAAAAAAATTTTAAATAATCTCTACATTTGGGGTGCCTTGGTGGCTCAGTCAGTTAAGCATCTGACTCTTGATTTTGGCTCAGGTCACAAGCTTACGGTTTGTGAAATCAAGTCCCAGATAGGGCTCTCTCTCTCCGTCTCTCCCTGCCCTTCCCCTGCTTGTGCACTCTCTCTTCCTCAAAATAAATACATATTTTTAAAAATAAAATAAAATAAAATAAAATAAAATAAAATAAAATAAAATAAAATAAAATAAAATAAAATAAAA